GCACTCGGTGGGGGGAAATGGAACGTATTTGCGCACCGCTAGCGGGGTATTTTGAAGTTTATTATTATAATCATCAGCATTATTATTATATTATACCAGTGTCACTCTGTGTATTCGTTTATGAAATTCTGTTAAAATATAAATTAAAATAACAAAAAACTGAGCTTCTGACGGTCTTTTAAAGTCCATGGTAGATGTACAAATAAGAACGTGATATTATATATTTTTTCCTCCAAATTGATATAAATGCTTCACATATTTTAATAGAAGTAAAAGGTATCACTCGATCATTATGATCTGACCTTCTTGACTTCTATTATCATGAATATCATCTAATTATCTAATAATGCATCTAAGCACGGCATAGAGATCCAGTTTCTACTGGGATCTACAATAAGTTCCATACTTTGTCCCAGGTTTATTAGTACTGTGTTCGATTTACTGGCGAACAATTTATTCAAAGCATTCACTGATGATATATTTTATTATCTTTTTTTATTGATTCATAGAGAAATAATCATCCTTAGACAACCTAAAATGGTTTAGAAATTTATCAGGGACACCTTTAAGTACCACAAGTCATATAGGCGTTCACATAAAAAATTTTGTCTGTTTTTGTTGTTGTTTTACTTGACATTGTTAGAAAACGAGGTTGAATGTGATGCAAGCCCTTGAATCCGTACAAAAGTCCATAAACTCAATGTAATATCTATCAGAATTATACAGATTAACGGGACAGACATAGATTATGTTACGTACATTGGCCGACAATTTCTTATTTTATAAGAAGGCTAAATAAAAGTTAGACAATATTCGGTATTTGTACGATACATGAATTTACGAGTAGTATGGACCAGTATGGGCCGGTAATTCACGCATGTATGGAACTACCGATTTCCCTCATTGATGCCTCAACAGGGAGCGGAGCGTTATCGATAATTGACAGGTTATGCGAATAGCAGATAAAAATGGTACAGGTACCGTTTTAAATCGTTTAAAAACACATTTTTTGGACTAACTGCTTCCAAAATTAAATCACGAATGTGTTCAGAAAAGATGGATAAATCTACTAAGCAAAAAATCTCATTTTAGGTATTTTCAGTGATAATTGACTCCGTTGTCACCTTAAGGGATATCTTACCGAAGTAAAAAAAAAGGAAGATGAATAGGAAGCTTTAGATACTAACAACAACACACTTTCCATGTGAAATTGTTAAAAACTTCTTGACTATGGTTATGCAGTGACTCATGACCCAAAGGGATCCAAAGGCCTATATTAGTCATAAAAATAATAATGTGAGCATTCTCAAGAAGATATGAGATAAACATTGTATAACTAAATATTACTGGGCAGTAATATTGTTATAATCTTGTATTATATCTAGATATTACATTTGTATACCTGTACAATCATGTATGACTCCTGGAATTATTATTAATTTTGTTGATAAAAAGAAGTTAACTTTTGACAAGATTAGTTTGTATGATCCTAGGCTAAAAGTTCATGACAAGGTCATGATAGTATCTTCATGAACTCCCAAAATTAATACCACATAACCTTAGTACAGCAGTAATCAGGATTAATGTATTGGATTGTTTTGGTAACTTGCCTGGGCAGTTGATGCAAAAGGAAGAATCTTAATGATATTGTAACTTAGTCAGGTCATTTATTCTTGGTGTGTGTATGATAAATAGTTTTGTCACACAAGCATATCCAAGCAGTAGGGGTAAGTGAAAAATTATGACATGTTTCAAACTTACATTCACAGTAGAACATTTCAATCAAAACAGCATTTTCTGAATAGTTTTATGAGTTTTGTCTGATAGAAGTATTATTGTAAGATGTTTATGATGCAAGTGACCATTATAATTGTTTGAATTTATTTTCCTTTTTCCTTCTATGGAAAATATTTGACTTGTTGATGATCATAATTTTTAGCTTAACAAGAGTTCTCATGGTGGTAAGTTTATTGTCTGTTGATGTTCATGACAGTACAAATGTATCAAACAATGTCTCCTCTTGAAGCACATTTGGTGGATTTTGACCAAACTTCACAATAATGATCTGGGACGTTTGTGGCCGAGTGTGGTTAAGTTTGTTGACTTAAAACCAATTGCCCCTCATCGCTGTGGGTTTGAATCCCGACAGGGACTTAAGATTCTTTCATGTTGGGAAGCTAGCTAATGGAACGTTCCACTAAGATGTCTGTTTGTGCTGGAAATAAATTATAATGCACAGAATGGCACCTGCGGTCTTCCTTCATCGGAAAAGCTGGAAAGTCGCTGTATGACCTATACTGTGTTCTATAGTTGTACATGTGTATTTTATATACATTTATTTATATTTGCCGCCTGTAACCATTTGGGCATTTCACTCATAATTCACACTTAATAATTTCATTTTTTTGAGCTGACGGATACAGCAAATGCTCCTTTGCAAGAGAGATAACTGGTTCTGTTATTTGTATGAAGTTCATACAATGTAAGAAGGTATCGTTGTAAACACTTATTGTTCTATTATTGTATATTTGATCATATGAGTTAACATGTGATTATTAAATAAAGGAAAAAACCAGAAAATTAACAATTTATCATAATTATATTAGTAGTTAATTGTTTATCATTGGCCATTATAATTATTGTAGATGATTTAAGTATAATAACATATTAATTAATATGGTATCACTTTGTATTCTGGGACATAAATTTCTAAAGGGTAGTCTGCATGACCTACCGAGTATTAATATTAATTAAAGAATTTTAGATATTAAGATAAAGCTGGGTCAGAAGAACACATCAGAGGGTTATGAACTTTTCAGAACATGAATAAGTACAGGCTGGCCTGACTAAAGCTTAGCCTTAATTTGAATTTATATTTTCATCATTCAGAAATTTGATTTTAGGAAGAAAAATTTTTTTAGCACATGATAAAATAAACTTGGAATACTACAAGAATATCAAGACTGTTTTTAATATTAAATTGTAATATTAACAAATAAATAAGTTCAAAGCGGTCAAATTATTCGTATTACATTGATAAAAATAGAGCAATCTTAATATTGTCAGACACTTGAATGTATCTTGTTTCTGTAACATCTTCCTCCATTGTTGTTGACACAAATCAATGGATGATACTTGAGTTTGTATAGACATTTTTCCTGGTTGTATTCAGATGTTTCAGTGTGATGTTTGTCATGTATTATATGGTGTTTTCCTTGTCTTTCTCTTGATATCATTTTCCATCAGAATCGTTGGGTTTTCAGAGTTTATCTTTTCCAAAATATTCAGTTTTGGTCTTGTGAGTATTATTCAGTAAAGTAAATGCGAATGTGGTTCATTATTATCATTCTTATATTGTTTTGCAAATTGACTGCTTAATCAATTCTGATTATGACTAGCAGGTGACTAATACATAATTACTATGATTCTTAGGGAATTTTACTGGAGAATGTTGAATATGGCAATGACACAAGATCACAGAAAATTTAAGCATTTAGATATCAATTTTAAGTAACATACACTACCTTTTACTCTTTGGGCACTGAAAAAGTGTTGATTTTCAAAGATCTACAGTACATTTTGATTAAGGTAGATAATTTATGAGACCTCTCACATTTAGGGTTGCTGACACCCTATCAGAGACATTAATTCACAAATTGACATATCACCATAGAGGTGGCTAAACTTGAGATTTTCTCATTTCATTCACTTATTTGCACTGTACACATTTTAAATAAAAATATTAGTATAAAGACCAAAAACCAATAAAGGCAAATTATTACTTCTTATGTCGAAACTGCTTGTGATTTGACAATATGTTTGCCTTGATACAAAGATCTTAAGTATAGTAGTAATTTAATGTACGAAAGCCAATTTCTGTCGTGGCTCATGCCAGCAAAATTTTGACAGGCTGTTGAAAATAATGAAGGGCTAAATTTCAGATGTTTGAGATAACTCTCCCAGTTTAAGATGTAAGTGCCAGAAAATCATGGCTTGTGGTTTACAATACTCTTCTTTCCCAAATAGGTTTGACAAGCCAAAAAATGTTAAACTTTTATGATTGATACAGTTGTTTTTTGTAATTTTGTTCTTGAATCAATTATAAGTAAGTTGTTCCATTAATTTTAAATTCATTTACATCATTTTCAGAAAATATGGTGATATGCGGGGCCAGTCAGGCTTGTGACTTGAACAATTTTACTAAGCAAAGAGTTTGTGGATGTTTGTAGTAAATTTTACTTGCCTAACCAAAATTTTACTAAGCCATGAGTGGCCGGGTGTTTATAGTACAGGTATTGGCAGAAGCCACTTTAAATTTACCAAAGTAATGTTCAGCCAAAGCATTGTTCCTAGGCAAGTTGAAAAGCATTTCACAAGGAACTGGTTTTGACCCCTGCTGTTGGATAGAAGTTTGTAACACCTGTGGGTAAATAAGCCAGATTCATCTTTCCTATGGCGCCATATGACCTTTACTGTGTTGGTGCCAACAACCCAATCTCAAAGAACTGCTAGTTATATCTGTACATGCCAGAGCAGCGGTACAGTGAAATGATCGTAGAATTAATCACAAGGAAAGAAACCTGCACGGTTTGGGAATCAAATCTGGGTCATCTGAATCACAGTCTTTACCAATTGAGCTAAGGCTAACTAAGCCATTCATGAGTTTTCGGTCTCAGCTTGCTAAATTTGCAAAAACTGCTATCCAGCTGGGGTACGCCGGTTAAATTGTTCTTGCCAGAAATTTCCATTTGATCTTGCGCAATATTTGCATTAATGAATTATAAATAATTAATAAAGATAATTATAGATAATTAATTTTATGAAATAGCAAAATAGGGTTGAAGCAGAGGCATTTACATTAATTTTTGCATTTTAAATCATGGTTGTGTATTATAGCAAGTATGAATATTTGAAGTAGGTTTTATATGCATATATATAGGAAGTAGATAACATGAGAACAGCATTATAATGACAGAGGTTTTAATTGTTTTATACTTGTTTTGACGATGTTAAACCATTTAGTTACATTAGCCAGCGCTATAAACAACTTGTTGCATCATTTATGAATGATGGGAATATTAGGAAAGAATTTAATTGTTTATTGAATTTTTGAAAAATAAAAATACTACATAATGTTATTAGTGTAAAAAAGTTGACTTGTTATTTCATGTAGTTTAAATTGGATAAAAAAGGGTTTGTTTTTCTTCTTGTAATATCATTTGAATGATTTTATTAGTTTTGAGTAATTTTAGGTTTCTTAATTGTTAACACTGTAATGTTCTTATCTTAAGGTGTGTGCTGTAATTATATTTTCTTTATGGCCTCTAATGAGAACATAATATGTTTATTGTAACTAATTTGCAATATCTGTTTTCTGTATAGTGTCACATATTTTTCTTAAGTTCCAAATTCTCACTGACATTTAACAGGTCATCATACTCATAGTGACTTTTATTGGGAGGGAGATCTCTGCTGTGTGTGCCTTAATGCATAAGTGGATGCACAAGCAGCTTTTATAAGTAGGACTATGACAACATTTAGAATCTGATGCAATACAATTTTAACATTTGAATGAGAGTTGTCTCATTAAAATTTACCTTTGGCTTTCACTGCTGTATGTTCAAATCCCGCCCCCCCCCCTAAATCTTATGCAGTGCACTGGAGTTCATGTAATATTAAAGAACATTATACAACTTTCATTGGATATACAGTAGAATGTGAGCTAAAAATTAAAATGCTAAACATGTGTAAAATACATTCCATTTTTTTATCATAATTAAGAAAATCTTTTATATGTTGATATTCAGTAGTCTCATTAAAGACCTCAAAGGTTAGAGCCTATTTCAAGGTTCACATCATTTCTTTGTTAACCTTTGCCAATTAATTACCCTATAACCTTTCATAATAAAGCTTTTTTTTCACCAAAGAGAGAAAGTTTTATAAAGAAGAAAGTGATATTGTCAACAAATTTTTGTCAATTATCAACTAGGAAACTAGCAATCCATCATAATATTGATAGAGATCTAGGCAGTTACAAACATTTTATGTTTTCAAACGTATAACTAGTATAACGTTGATTTTTTTATATATATAAAATGAATGGTATAGAAATTGTAATCAGTTTTAGATCAAATGTTATGGCTTGTAGATGAGATGGTATCACAAAGATATCAATGATTTCTTTCATGCTAGTACAGTTTGAAGAATTCTCATTTTATAAAGATTATTAGATATGCATCGAGTGACGACAGCCATTTCATTAATTCATGTACCCTTGTGATGGCTTGCACATAATTATTACAAAAGTTTTATTTTGTAAATTTTCTTCCTTTAGTTCTACTCTTTAATTTTTGCTCATTTTTTCCCTAAATTTATTTTTCTTATTTATTTATTTTTTATCTGTTTGAAATTTTGAAATGAGTAACCTTACATAATCATCAAGCGATTTAAAGTTTGACTTTTATAGTCTCTATAATGAGTATATAAGTATAGAATGTCATTATACTTCAGACTGATTTTAATAGGAACAAATGAGCATTAAGTGAAAAAATGAAGAAAAATTCAACATAAGTGAATAACTGTTGTTTAAGTGTGCATTAAATTTTGGGAAAAAGAAGTTTTGCTCTAAACTCAAAAGACAAATTTATGTTTAATACCTGCTTAATTGATTTAAAGAGTTTTAAATGTTTTTTCTTAAATCTTGTTGTTTTTTTGTTCGCAATAAAAATTTTAAGTTTAATCATCTGCATATGTATTTAAAGGTTTTATAATTTAATTTTATTGCTTATAAGATGAAGTTCAGTTTTGATTATGATGTTATAATATTTTTCACCTCTTGGAGGTGAATTCCAGAGTATAATCATGGCACCCATTTTATTGCCTGTAATTGTAACTAAATTCTAGTTCACAATGCATGTGTGGATTTTACTAGGTCTTCAATTAACTTTGAAAATGTATATTATGATAAAAAACATGAGGGATATTTACTAATTTAAATGGCATCATGTTATTTCATGGTTTTTATTAGCTCGACTTTTCTATGAAAAGGGGAGCTATCCTACTCGCCCCGGCGTCGGCGTCGGCGTTAGCGTTGGCGTCACACCTTGGTTAAGTTTTTCGTACCACCCCACTTTATTTCAGAAGTATTACAAGTATGGCTTTGAAACTTACCATACTTGTTCACCATCATAACCTCCATCTACAGACAAGAGTACATAACTCTGTCAAGGTTTTTGACAGAATTATGGCCCTTTTTTGACTTAGAAAGTGTATTGAGCTTGGTTAAGTTTTTTGTACCACCTCACTTTATTTCAAAACCATTGGAGGTATTGCTTTGAAACTGACCATACTTGTTTACCATCACGACCTTCATCAACAGACAAGAGGACATAACTCTGTCAAGGTTTTTGACAGAATTATGCCCTTTTTTGACTTAGAAAATACATTGAATATGGGTAAAATCCACTTATTGCCTTAACCCTTTGAGATATTGCTTTGAAACTTTTAATGCTATTTCACATCATTACCCCCATCTGTACGCAAGAGAAGGTAACTCTGTCAAGGATTTGTTTTAAAAATTAAAGCCTTTTATCGACTTAGAATCTTGGTTAAGTTTTTTAGTACCAGTCCACTTTTTGACTGAACTGTTTGAGATATTAAATTTGAAAGTTGGAATACTTGTTTACCATCATGGTCCCAAAACATGGGCAGGAGAAGGTAATTCTGTTAAGGATTTTATTTGAATTATGGCCCTTTTTGACTTAGAAACTCAGTTAAGATTTTCATTCTTGTCCACTTGTTGACTTAACCATTTGAGATATTACTTTGGAAGTTGGAGTTCTTATGTGCCATCATGAGACCTATCTGTAAGCAAGAGAAGATAACTCTGTGAAAATGTTTCTTGATTTGTACTTAGAAATTCCTAGTTAAAGTCTTGTGTGCCCTTAACTGTCAAAGTTTTGTTTTATAGGCAAGCACTAAAAAAGTCGAGCGCGCTGTCCTTCTGACAGCTCTTGTTTGTTGATGAAATGAAAACTGTGTTTATTATTTGTTTATTTTTTTATCATGAAATGTCATCAAATGTGATGTATAAAACTACACTTTTATTGTAATTTTAAGAGATTTGAATGTGTTACATGATAATTATACTCTTATAATATTCAAGTGAATTTATTCAGTATATATTATGATCATAAATATTATCTTGGTATTGATGAAAGAAAAAAGACATTGATGTTTCTTGAAATATTTTTATGAATATGTGCTTTAGGGTGTTTATTTTAGAACTGTTCTGAAGAATCAATATATGAGCCGCGCTATGACAAAACCAACATAATGCGTTTGCAACCAGCATGGATCCAGACCAGCCTGCGCACCTCAGCAGAGCAGTCAGATCAGGATCCATGCTGTTCCCTATCAGTTTATCTACATGTAATAGGGTTTGTAAGCAAACAGCATGGATCCTGATTAGACTGCACGGATGCCATGTAGGACAGAAGAAGGGGGACAATACGACATGTAAAATATGTCATCTATTTGTCTTCCCTTTGTGCTTTTCGTTTTCCATTTTTGAGGCACGACATGGCGTAAATCAGCCACCATACATTAATTTTGAATACTAGAACACAGTGATTTTACCACTGTATAGGAAGTTAGTTTATACGGACATATTATTAGTATTATATTTCATTTAAAATCATTTAATATAAATTACAGGTTGAAGTTGTGATAAATGCATCTGCAGAAATAAAAAGTGAAAGGATTAAAGAGAAATTAAAGCTATAGGTAATTTTTACTTTACATTACATATTGATAGTTTAATTAAAACAACATTAAGGAAAAACAGGTGATGTTATACATGATACAATATGTGCATGTAAAATTTATGTTATTATTATTCTAACTTAATGTTATGCATTTTTTATGAGTCAGTGGAAGGAAAATTTGCTGTGCACCTGTGCATATTCTATTCTTTGTGAATTGTGAACATTTTATTACATTAATATTGAATTTTTTTTTTCAGTTCAATTTTAGCTCCACCTTTTTTTTTTTTTTTTTTGAGTTATTGTTATGTTGCCGTCCACAAACTTGTACCTGGATCATAACTTTTTTAGTTCTTGGTGTATTGTCTTCATACTTGGCCACAACAACCAATGAGACAAGACCTTTCAGTAGCCCAGCGGTAGCTCTTGTCATGCTTGTTTTTTTTTTGTTTTTTTTTTTTCAGAAATAAACAAATTGTTTACAAATAAATGGTAAATATATGATGGAAATACAGTTCATTCTGTTATAGAAAGAAAAGTGATTGGTGAAGATGTTTTGAACCCTCATTTTTTTCATATGACTGAATTAGAATGGATGTATAAATTTTTATTTTTATTTCACCAAACTTTAGACTTTGTTATTTGATATGATAGTCACATATGTTTCCAAGGTCCAACATTATTGGTGGTATTTCATTGATGAAAAGTATTGTTATATAATGATTAAATCATACTCATTTTGAAATAACTAAGATATTTGATTTGGAGACCATGTTTGGAATTTGTGAATTATTGAATATAATTATTTGATTCATAAAGGGAGGTAATAACAATACAGAATTTCAGTTCATATGCTTTATATTTTGTAGATCCATTAAGCTAACTCTTTTGATACTAGGTTTTATTGTAGGTATCTTTCACCTTGATTAATTTTTATAATGGATCTGTTTGTTTTTTTTGTTTTTTAAATATTATAAAGCTATATCTTATGAAATATTTTTATCAAATTTATCAACAGTAAAATTATGTTGTTTCCATAATCTTATGGTTGATTTTTGAAGAAAGTGTAACATAGAATGTCTCTTTTATTTAACACACAATGACATAGATATTGTATGTTAACATAATAAAATGGTCAGAAACAAAATGTTATGCTGCACCGCAAATGATGTTTTTTTAAAGCAATATACTTCAATGTTTTTTCATACAAGCATTTTGGAAGACTTTGATTTTAAAATTCAAACTATAATTGTGGCAGCAGATATATATCTTACACACATTACATTATTGTCCATTACTGATTTAACAACAACAAATGAAGGCTCATTATTAAAAATGAAGACTAAGAATTAAAATGAAGGCTCAAAGTGTAGTATTTCCTAGTAATTGAGTATTTCAGTTCAGAAATTATCCTGTGACTGACATTTAGACCAATGGTAAAACAGGAACTTCATTAAACCATCCTAATAACATGAGATACGCATTTTGCATGTTATTCATGCATCAGTTATTCATACAAATACCTGTTAAAATAAATATACCAGGATAGCTATATCTACATTATTCATAGAATCATACTATAAAAACCAATATTACATTAATACTGTTTGACGTTGACTAATGATGCACTTTTTGTGCAGTATTTCAGGATGTAGTCGGGTATGTTCACCGTGTAATTAATTGGTATTTCAACACTCCCCGCATAATTAATCAGAAATTCTATGCGGGTGCATTCTCAGTACTGAATTTATGGGAAAGATTATAAAATGATAATCTGTAAAGTGCAGGTAGACATACAATGTTTGTATACTAAACAAAATTGATATATAGAAAAACATTTTATTCAGTTTCACAATAATAATGACATCTTAGGCAATACTGTTTCATCCTGTTTCTTAGGCTTAGCAAGTTACAGCTTTTGTGTTACTGAAACCTTATAGTCATGCTGTTAAATGTCTAACGTCAGTCAGCCTGTACTGTAACAGGGAAGAAGAAAAAAAGTCCAGCAAAAATACATTGTTTATGTCATTTTAGTGAAGAAATGTGATAGAAATTGTATGTTTTATATTTTAGATATAAAGAGAAGTTTGTTTGTACAAGGATATAGCCATCACAAGCAGGAACAAGATGTAAGTTTCTGGTTTTTTGCTACTTTATTTTGTTGCCGTGAAAAATGTGCAAACCTCGTAGGCTTGCTTCGTCTGCCAGTATTTTCTACTAAGTGGTTAAAAAACATATAATAGATAAGCTTTGAGTGGGCTAAATAAATGAAGCCTTATTCTAATATTTTATCTATTATTGTTGTAAGTAAGATTGACTTGTTGAAGAACAACCTGTTGGTCTCGTGACAGTAGAAGGACTTCTTGCTCCGCCTGATGGTGCTGTATTGCTCCAAAGAATTACCTTTCTGAGTGGATTGTGTTTGGTGCTGTACTTCTTTGAAGTAATGCTCTTCCTTTGATTTTGCAATTGCCCATTGTTGCATTAAGGGCTTTCAATGTCTTAATCATGTGAGGCGCATGTATTTAAGAGCAGCTAAGAGTGTCATAGAATCTAACAGGTGTTGTTAGTTAGAATCTGACTGGTGGTATTCTGATGCATGGTGGCTGATAGGGAGCATTTTATACTGTATGGTTACATGTAGGCTTGATTATGCTTATTTTGCATCATGATTTCAGAAAACTTGACCTTTTAAGGTAGTTTTTGGAATATTTACTATGACCATAATTGGTGGAACTGATGGAAGTACATTAGGATTTTATTTCCTTCATTAAAATTTAGGATTTTTATTATTTAGTAACTACACAATTAATTCAACAACTTTTATTTTTAATACATTTATTTGAAATAAAAACAACCCAAAAAAAACAATCCAAACATTTATAAAATTTTGTCTTCCATTTATTTAACATGAACAAATTAAAAGCAATAAGACAAATGGAATCTGTAGAGAATAAATTGATTTTATTATTAGTAGAAAACTTTCTTAATGGCTTCTTAAATTAATTGATTTTATTATTAGAAGAAAAATTTCTTAATGGATTCTTAAATGCTTTCCTCCGCCAAAGACTACTTCTTACGAAAAGAAAAAAAAACAACACACACACAAAACAAAATAAAAAACAGCAAGGACAACAAAATCAGCGGAATTGTTTAAACAATTTGTGAAAGTTGGTTAATGAGACAAGAGTACATGTCATACATTGATACAGCGGTTATAGATTGAAGCTTGATCTATGATTGTAAAACATATCAATTTTAAGATTTTAACAAGATATGAAATTCCATACGAAAGGGAAGTTACAAGTAAATTTAGACTTCCCATAGAGTTTTATGACTACATATTGTAGATTGAAAGCTGATTAAATAAAAAGTTATAGACATAGAATAAGTACTGGAGCCTTTATGGTGTGAAGGTTAAAGTTTTATGGGGATATGGATTTGATTTTACTTTTTGATAAAGATTTTAAATGCCTAATCTGTAATTGAAACATATATCATGTTTTGGATATTATCAGAAAAATATATTCTTTTTAAATCTGCTTATACTTGTTGTACATTTAAGTTGTTATAAATATGAAATGATGCATTGAGGCAAATGGAGAAGTGGAGAAAGACTGGAAAGAGTTGATGTGGGAGAGAAAATTGGTACTGAAATAGTTACTAAGGTTGGGCCAATGGAGAAATATAAATTAGTAAAAAATCAGAGGATTTTAAGTGTTAAAAGTATTGTAAAAATGACAACAATGCATAGAAGAAAAATACTTCAATGTGTGCTTAATTGTTACCTTGACTCTTTTTTAAAAAAAACAAAACAAAAAAAAACGTAGAGGTATTGTTACAGTCATGTCAGTGTTGATGTTGCCTTTGCCGTCTGCAAACTTTAACCTTGATCATAACTTTTAAAGTTCTTGGTGTATTGTCTTTATACTTGGTTACAATATCCCTTAGGGCAAGATGTTCAAATAGACCATACTAACGTTGACCTTCAGTCATAAATGACCTTGACTTTCAAGGTCAAATGTCTAAATTTTTAGTTTAAACCGATTATTTGTTTGGTTTTAGAAAAAGTAAAAAAGTTGAGCGTTGCCCCCGTCTGGCGGTAGCTCTTGTTTTAATGAACAATGCAAGGAAGAATAATACTCCAATTTGTGTATAATTGTTTTAATGAGCAATGCATGGAAGAAAAATAGTGAATTTATGTTCTAACATTTTCTCGCCCACTTTTATAGTGATTCAATTGATGAAAAAAATATATGAAAACAAATTGAGATTTATTTCATGAAGTTTCATGCCAGAACTGAGATGTTTTGTTCACTTTTAGCATAACCTGGGCTCATTAGCTTTTTTCACAGACCAATTAAAATACATAATGATGAAGGATGTTATTTGGCAAGGTATTGGTTTGGAAGTGGCTCTCTTAAGTATTTTACTTTTGCATTCCAGAAGTTATAAATCATTAGCTAGGAAAAAAAACATTGCAGCAAACTGCTGAAATTGGTATTTTTTTATTTTACATAAAACTTTTAAGTCTTTTAACTATTGTGCTCAATATATACATAAGACATTGTCCTTTCTCCAGTAGTGTTGTACCTGGAAAGTCGCCATTATAATCTACACTGTATTGGTGCAATTTAAAGTCCAACCAAATAAAAAAGACATTGTCCTCAAGGCAAAAGCAATAACATCATAATAATAATCGTGTGGAAACGCCAGTTCAGATCTATGTATACTTTTTAATTGTAAGACAAATTGCAGAAGCTATGGAGAACATGGGTAGGAGGGGGGATGTGGGGATGGAAAGAGCTCAGTGATGTCTTTGATATAAGGTAACAATTGTCTCAAGTGACTGCCATTTCCAACCCCCACAACTTTTCATATTGAATTTACATTGAATGCAATTAAATTGAATCTGTTACATTATCAAACTGAACAAATGAAGAGAGAATGATTATATTGTTAATGCATAAAATATAAAACTAACATTTAAAGTGAAACAGAAAATTGTTGAAATACTACTAATTTGATCAAAATCTACTGTTTTAGAATGTAGGTGTGAATGTAGACCTTCAGAAGATAAGATTGGTTTAGAGAATACATCATAATTAACAAGTAATTGTGAAAAGTCACAGTTGAGGTGCTGTTTTTTTGGTGAATTGCCACCCATTTATATTGTCAATCTCCATGTATAACTAAACTACTGAGAGAGCTACTGTCTACATTCTCTTGACATAGTAATAAAGTATATAGGTAGACAACATCTTGTATTTTAATAATGTGTGAACATAGTATATACTAGCATAGCTGTGAAGTATCAAATAGACTTTACCTCAAAGGCTTGGTCCTGTATGCATTTATGTTTCATTTAAAAAGACCTATGCCAAGGGTATGTATTGATATATATGTTTGTTTATCTTTACTGGATATATACAATATTGTAGGATATATCATATAGAGATGAGAAGAATGTGATGATTGTATCTGATATATGATAGGTATGATTGTTATTGTTTTGTTTCTTTGCTTCAAACCTGTTGATATGATATGATTGACTTACAGAGTTTGATAACACATATTTTCTAATGAGATAATTGTCTTTTTTCGGTCCTAACAATTGAAGTTTTCAGACAATTATTGCAGATATTGTAATGGTTTTTAAAAAGATGAGAGATTTTTAAGATAAGTTTGAGATTTTTAAGATATTTTAGTTTGCCAAAAATAAAAAATAAATGAATTTTACATTGCTGAACAGCTGTTAAATTGCATGAACTGTTATTATGTGGGTGGGGGAATGTAGAATCTGTAATTAGAAAGTAAATTAAGCTGTTGGAGGAAGTCATGAATCAGTGAAAGTCACCATGTTCTGCAATCTAAATGTGCTCCGGTCAATTAGTCAGTGATATATCCGAGTGGATTATGCAAAATATTCCCTAATAATAATATCATGGTCATCCTCAAACAATATCTTGTTAATTATATCTACAGTACATAGTTTAATATCAAACCTAAGTATGTAAGGAAAAGTGAAAATGTAACTCCCTTTTTCAACTTAACAAGATTGAAGGAGGAAGAATCCGTGTAAAAGTCACACAATTATTGTTTGATAAGTACAGTATAACAGAAGCTTATTTAAAGAGAGGTCTAATCTCCTTCAACAACTTCTCTTTCCAGGATTAGCCAGCTGTTTTAACTTTCTGACTTTTTGAGACAGATTAATCGTTCTTATTGATATTACAATGTATATATCTGCAGAATTTGTCTGGCCTCTAAGCTGTTGTTGCAATTGTTTGTTTTTCTGGATGTGGTGGACTAAGATTTCACACATAAAGGTGACATATGACTAAATTCTTAATTTACAATTTAATGCTCAAAAGGAAAATGCAAAGCCTTCATCCCAACAGTATTTTAAAAGAACCACTTGCTGACAGCATGCGTTTATGATAGAGATTTTTGTTGTAAGTTGTACATCAATTTGATTTGACAGCTCTCATACAATAAAAAACTTATATTTTCTTTAAAAAAAAAAAACAACAAAAAAAACACCAGAAATGCCAACACAAAGTGGTAACAGACTCATATCTTGCCTGACAAGTGCAGTGCAAAAAACTTGACAGGTTAATAAATCTATTACTAGAGTTGGTAACTGCTTTAGATTTCCCGTGAATTTCTTGGAAGTTGAAAAAGTTTAACAATTAGGGAAATTAAAGAACAGAACTGTTCATTGTAACATTATCATGTGTGAGCTATCACTCTAATTCAGTCAAGAAGTCAGTTTATGTTTAATACATTGAGTTAAAGCAATTTCCATCCCGGAACCAAAAAGGATTACATATCCATTTTGCCATGAACCAGTTAGAAAGGGTCAGTATAGAGAGTTGGAGGTTGTGTCTTGTAATCTCAAAATTGTGGATTTGATTCCGGGGCTGGCCAACTATAATTACAGATGAGACTTGAAATTGAGGTCCCTTGTATAAGTGCTTAAAAACTTGACATGCTAAAGTACCAGGAGAAGGGTCTGCAATTGGGGCATTTTTCTATCTGTATCTTGCACTATCCTCCAAAAATCTAAAAGATCTATAGTAACTGTTCTTGAGGACTTCCCATATGGGCAACCGGTTGCGAGTATAAA